TCGTCGACGATGTGCTTCGCCGGAAACATCACATTGCCAAGTTCACGAGACGAAACCTCACTCTTGAGGATTTCAACTATTTCTTGTTCTCCACTGATCTCAATCCTCCGATCACCGATCAGGTTAACTTTTTTTTTTTTCTGGAGTCAACAATTTTTTAAAATAATTTTCCTGGGAAAAAGAGTCTTAGATTTTGGGAATCTGGGGTTGATGGTGTTTGTTTGTTGAACAGATTTGACAAAGAAAAATTACGACTTTTTAGAAAATTTTCTCTGTTGATTTTCCCGGAAAAAAATGTCCGATTTTTATTTTTGGGAATTTCTCTCTCATCACTATTTGACTCTCCTTCTAATTTCTGGATTTCCGTCCTAATTTTGGTTGATAGATTCTAAATCAAACCCATTAATCTTCACACGAACTAGGTTTGGTAAAATCTCTCAATTACATGTTTCTTGATTTACTCTGCTACTGAAATTCTGGAATCTGAATATACGATTCATCTGTCCAAATTAAGAATATTCCATTTTGGCTACTTTCTATTTGTAGGAGTTACTAATCATCTGCACAGATTCTGAAATTCTTGACTTGATATTTGATACTGTGGTTTAATCATTGTTGGTTATTTGATTTTTTTTCAGGTGCATCATAAAATGGATGCTCCACTGTCACATTACTTTATATTCACAGGCCACAATTCTTACTTAACCGGAAATCAGCTTAGTAGCAATTGCAGTGACCTTCCCATTGCAGATGCATTGAGACGAGGTGTAAGGGTCGTTGAGTTGGATCTTTGGCCTCGTGGTAACGATGATGTTTGCGTTAAGCATGGAAGGTATATTCAGTTTTTGGCTCTTTCTTACTAAGTATGAATAGTTTGGTTCCATGAACTATCATGTTTCTTACTTGGAATCAAATTACAGGACCTTGACGAAGGCCGTAAAACTTGGAAAATGTTTGGAATCCATTAAAGCTCATGCCTTTACTACTTCAAAGTATCCTGTTATTATTACTCTCGAAGATCATCTCACCACTAAACTTCAATCTAAAGTTGCAAAGGTTTTCCTTCTTCTCAATCTATATTGTCTTGTACTTAAAAGTTCATGTGTGTATGAATATGTGATACTACAA